AGGGGAGAAGTGAGGATGTGGTCTAGGTATATCAAGAACCACTGTCTTGGCCTTCGGGACTAGAGTGAACTGCAGGAACCCCCGAGGGGGCTGCAATGTGAAACGGAGTAAGACTAGTTTGGTCCAAAGATAGTGGGTCATTACAAGCGAACTGGGAAACATGACCAGGTGCAATGAATCTTTGAGAAGAGCTTGGTAAACTGCTTGTCCTACATGTTTGTCATACATTTATCCGTGATGCTGAGCATGAGAGCAGAAACAACTCTGGACAGCGTCCAGGTATTGGCAACAACTTGGATACACTGTTCCGGAAACTTTTGTGTGGCGTGGGAAAGCTAAGCAGAACGCCTACGGGTGGATACAGCTGTGGCTGACAGAACCAGGAAGGGTCTTGCCGTGGAGATACGGGCATCTCAAAAGACCAAAGTGAGGATACTTTCCAGCAAATGCCTTAGTATAGAGGTCAAGGCCCAGCACTTAAGATCCAGGGAAACTTCAAGGCCGCTAGGGAGGGTGGAGAGGAGGGAGGCTGAAAACTAAACCAGACTCACACTTTCAGCCGCAACCCCGTCCCCATCCCAGGCCATACCATTCCATACACGCCCTCTGGGATGGGGCAGGGGGTGGGTGGGACAGTCTGATGTGCTTTAGCGACAACAGCGTCAGCTGCGGCGCAGGAAACAAGCAGAAGAGACGAGTTCGCTGGGTTTGGCAGAAGGCACTGATGCTCGTAGGAAGCACAGTTTCAAAGAAACGGTGGGAGTGAAAGTCAGAAGACGTGGGTTGAAGGCCACGTCTGGTCAATGAGGAAGTGACTGCTTTCTCAAAGTAGATGACTGACTATGAGAGAGGGCGGGATAGATTATAAATAGCAAGGCAGTAGGGCAATATTGCGTAACTGACCAAGTAAGTGAACAAGGGAACAGACCATGCAGAACATCATGATTAAAAACCCACCACCGCAATTACCCTTCAATTTAAAATAAATACATTTTAAAAAATAAATAAAATGGATAACCAACAAGAGGAAAAAAAAAAGAAAAACTGAGCACAGATTCCTATTTTTCTGAAACCTAATTCTCCACTAGTGGCTGGCTCTGATATACACTTAGTTAACTTCAGGTCCCAAACTTTGAGAATATGGGCTTTTTTTCATTATCACTCACATTCTCGAGCTACTGATGTTCTGTTGCAATATTAAGCTGTGATGTTATTAATTTCTACAAATTCCTCATATCTTTAAAAATAGTGGGTGAGTAATGCTTTATAAATTCAGCAACATATATATATATATTTCAGAAGCATTTTTCCAATAATTCAGTAAATTCCAAATTGCTGAAATCTAGCCATGTCTCATATCATTTACTGAAAATACACTAAATATGACAACTTATCCAAATCATCCTCTAAAACGATAATTATCTTAACTTCCAAAGTGAGTAAATGAATAATTTTACAATTTCATGCTTTAGGTTGAAAAGATTACACTGTCATGCCTAGGGAATATTTTGTCATTGTTGTTGTTCAGTCACCCAATCATGTCCGACTCTTTTGCAACCCCATGGACTATAGCCTGCCAGCCTTTTCTGTCCATGCGATTTCCCAAGCAAGAACTCTTGGAGCGGGTTGCCATTTCCTTCTCCAGGGGATCTTCCTGACCCGGGGATCGAACCCTCATCACTGCACTGGCAGACAAGTTCTTTGCTGCGGAGCCGCCGGGGAAGCCCCTAGGGAATATTTACTGTAGTCAAATCCTAGCACACCAAATGTTACCAAGGTATATGCCACATCACCATAATACTAGTGATTGTTTTTTATCCAAAAAAAAGCTCACTTCCCTCGAAAACAATCAAGATACAGGATTTAGGTCATACCCATAACCTTAGTGTTGGCCATGTGGCTTTAGCTGAATGACAGCTTTAGATGTTCAACCTATCTTCTTCATACCTGGGTCATAAAACACACGAAGTAACAGAACTGGCTTCCCTTTGTGCCCACTAAAGCAGAAAGTGGTCATGAAATAATTAACTCAATAACTGCTATTAAAATAATATGACAGAGATTTTGATTCCATTCTTCTTGGTTGACAGTGACACACCCCAAAAATAAAGTCCCCAAGGTAACTGCAAGATCTTATCACCTTTTAGAAACTTTTGGCGACATACCAACTGGTTAAAGGTTAGTAACATAAACACAGGTCATGTGGGTGTTTGTTCTAAAATACTTAGGAATTCAGAGCTTGAATCCTACCTACTAGGATATCCCTGGGAGTGGTGGGAAAGCTCCACAACATAAGAGGGAATCAGCTTCAAGTATTGCTGCAAGAAAATCACCCCAAATGTCTCCAACCAGCCACGAGAGCAGGAGATAACTTGAAAGTCATTGAAAATATTAACTACATAAAATAAAGAAAATTTACTATTAAACAGGTCAATGTCCTTGAACCTTTTTATAGAGATTTTGTCCCTATGGCATGAGCCTGGATTTGTGGGGAATATTCCTATGGCACATATTACCTACGGGAAGACAGTATGTTCCCAGAGCTATAATCCGTCGAGCACAGCTTTGAACTATGCAGTCCATTGTAGAAACTCAATACTTACTCAATAAAATAGCAAGCAATTTCATTGTTGTTTAGTTGCTCAGTCATGTCCAACTCTTTTGCAACCCCATGGACTATAGCCCACTGGGTTCCTCTGTCCAAGGGATTTTCCGGGCAAGACTACCGGAGTATGTTGCCATTTTCTCCTCCAGGGGATCCTCTGAACCAGGGATCAAATCTGCATATCTGTGTCTCCTATTCTGCAGGCAAATTCTTTACCATTGAATCACCAGGGAAGCCAAATAATTTCATTACTAATACTAATCTCAGTAGATTCTAAGCCAGATTAGACATAATCTATTCTGAATTAAGCAGATTCTGAAACTGTTGCAAGATGCTCTGTTATAGAGCCACATCATCTTCTATACTACCAAGTTCACTTTGTAGAACGTAAAGGATGTAAACTATGAATAGAAAAATTCAGGTCCCATCCCAGATCGCTGCTCAACCTGCTTTAACGCAAGTGACTTGCTCACATCTTCTAAGGTGGTTTTTCCTTGAGTAACTGCCATTTCCAGATATGACTGTGTGTCAGACAGGATTGAATCACCATCAGCTGAGATCAGTATGTCACTAGAAACCACAGTAAAAATGAAAAAAAAACAAAAAACAAGGAAGTTAAGGCTCAAAGAGGTTAATGACTTGCTCAACATCAAACAGTAGAGAGTTGGAAAGTTCAGTTGAACACTATTCATGACAAAGAGATTACTGCACTTGTAAAGCAAATACATTATATATAAAATTTTTTTTAGGAAAGAAACATTTTCAAATAATGGCAATGATGAATTACATTATCAACAGAAAGTGTTTATGGACTGCAGAGAACATCTAATAAAATACCCAAATTTATAGATGAGAACTTGAGATTATATTCAACTTGATGAAAACTGAGGTCCACTTTTTCCATGAACCATATCACCTTATATTTAAAAATACTTCATAAATTATAAAGGGATAAAGGGCTATAAAATATAAGTAGTTAAGAGAGAAAATTAATTATTGTACATTAGCTGTGAGAGATTCCGAGTGCTATGACTGTCTTTGGAACTGCACAGCTTAATACACCTGATCATCTATTTATATGTCATGGTTTTGCTTGCTGGTGAGTGGAGAGAGAGAATAGTATCTGTTTTCTGCCTAGATATGAAGGTTAGGACTTAAGTCTGGTTAGGGCAACAGGATAGCATCTAAAGTTGAAAAGGACATTTCCATGAAATTCACTGTGAAATACAGGGCAAGAATACTGCCATTTTGCATGTAGATGTCTAAGTGTGACACTGGGAATTGTACTTTGGGCATTAGTAGCATAATCTCAACTGTGCACACAGCTAGTATGATCTCAGACAGTCGGATTATACACTAGTAGTAATAAAAGTAGAGGTGACCCTAACTTAGAGAACCAATGAAGTTTACAATTTGGGTCATTTTCCAAACCATTTATAACCTTAGCATATTTAATTTCTGTGCTCCTGCCAGCTTAATACTGCTCAGACTGAGCTTTGGGTAGTTCCATTTTTAAATTCCTTAGAGTCACTTCTCTCTACATACATGAAATAAACTCTTTGACCTCTGACTGATGCTCTTCCCCAACATACTGCCTAAGGAGAGGCAGTGAAACAAAATACTTAGGTAGGAATCACTGTTCCCTGGTGGCTCAGTGGTAGAGAATCCACCTGCAATGAAGGAGACACAGGTTTGATCCCTGGTTTGGGAAGATCCCCTGGAGAAGAAAATGGCAACCCTTCCTCTGCACGTGGTTTCCAGTAGCAGGAAATACCCTTTATTTCTACCTTTTTTCCTTCTACTTTTGAAACGTTACAAAGTTTTAAAGACTTAAGTCAGATGTTGCCCATCCCACTAAGATAATACTTGACATTTGTACTTGTGCCTCTTCTTCTAACAATTCTGAGAGAATTAATAAGTATGAAATAGTATTATGTGTGTGGATATAGGGGATATATTAATATTTGTTGAAATACTTTCCCTACACTCTTCAGGCAGGCTATTTACACTCATCCTACGTCCATGTTAAATTCTAGAATCTTGGCTTCCTGGGGGAATCAATTTCCCCCTCAAGCAATGTTTTCCCACACACATTTCAGGATGAGAATAATTAGAGGAAGCTCTGTTCAAGAAGAAGGGGAAATATATTAAGAATTATTCAATTTCTGTTCTATGGTAGGAAGAACTAAACCATTACTCCATTCTAATCAAGTTTATCAAAAGAAATAAAAACTTCTGAAGTTTTATGTGTCATTTAAATACTTGCCAATTAGTCATATGATGTGACTGCATCTCACATAGCCATGACCACTTTCTAGTGTGTAGACATACATCTGATTTGACCTGAAGCCAATTTACCTTCCTTTAGACACCTCCAGGTAAGCATAAAACTTACAGTGCCAAGGTCAATGATGAAGCAGTCACCCTTGTTGAAACTGTCCCAGCTTAGGGGAACTTCCGTGGCCCTGACGACTCTCCGACCTTTTACATGCAGGAGCCTCTGAGCGGTCAAGTCATTTGTAAGCACATGATGGAGTCCAGATGCCACACCTCCAGCCTGATCAGTGAGAGAAAGAAAACAAAACAAAACAAAACAGATGAGGCTTTGACACGGCAGCTTAGAAAACCGCGTTGTTGGTGCCAAACTGCTTGCTAGACCAAGAGAAAACAGCTAAGTGCGTGTGAAAAATTAAATATGCAGAAGAGAATTTCCAACAGGCAAATCAATAGGTAATTGTTTTGTTTTAGGCTCTTTGTCCTTCCTATTTTAATCATTCCAGTTAATACTGCAAATATTTACTGAAAACCCTCAGTATAAAACCTGCTACATAAACAGAAAAGAGCTGTTATTCCTTTCCTTTGGGAACTAATGATTCTCAAAGCAGTGAATGCAAAGGCAGATAAGGATTTCAGAGGAAAAGGTGATAGGAGGTTAGAGAGTCAGAGGTCACAAGCACACACGAAGAGGCCCGGGAACCAGGCAGCGTGAAATCCCCATGGTCACAGCCTCAAGACAGAGGAGGGACCTGAGTGCTTGCCAGGTATGGGCTGCTTCTAATCTTAGTCCTTGGTTTTACATTAAAAAATCACCTGTCTTATTTATCTATTTATTTAGGTAAAAAGGGTTTACAAAACATGCCAAGCCTAAGTATTTACAGTCTAAATTGGTCGCATACCCCCACCAAAACAAAAAGAAAATTCAAAGTCCAACCACAGTGAACTAAGAAATGGGGACAAAAAAAGATGAACTATGTCAAGCGCATCTTCTTGAATCATTTGAAATTAGCTTTCAGATTTTTTAAGCTTTTCATTATTTTCCTGAATTAGTAAAATGTTAGGGACAATAATATTTATTTACTTCCATAATTAACTATGAGGTAATGTGCAAAATAAAGGTACAGTGGAAATAAATCTGTTATTTATTGATCAAAATCCTCCCATGATAATATGGAAAGAAAATTAGCAGTAGAAATCTATATGGGACTTCCCCGGAAGCCAGTAGTTAAGACTCTGCCTTCCAATGCAGGGGTGCGATTTGATCCCAGGTTGGAGAACTAAGATCCCACATCCTTGGGGCCAAACAACCAAAAATATAAAACAGAAACAATATTGTAACAAATTCAATAAAGCCATTAAAAATAAATGTTCCACATCAAAACAAAATCTTTAAAAAATGAAGTCTATTAAATAATCCAAATTTCAAGTTTATTACATCAATATATACAATAAATCCAAAGAAAGAGGTCAAGCTTCATATATAATTAATAGCACATTCTTTAAATTTCCAAATGACTTTTAGACTTCTCTGCTTTTCCAAAAGGCCCTCATGAATATAAAGGTTTTATTAGTATGGGCTTAAATGTTGACTTTAGGAAAACTATCACCACAAGCTTTTACAAATGCATAATAATTTCCCAGTTCATAATTTTAAAAGGATTGCCTTATTTCTTGACAGCACAAAGTATTATACAGTAAAGTTTTTCATCTACATATTACTATGCTTGGCCATTTTAATTTTTCAAAATAAGAACTATACTGTGATCTGATAACAAAAAATAGTGTAAGAACACTGTGTTCTGAAAAAAAGTTATAAAATATAGAGTTGACTTAGGCTGAAAATAAATGTACAATATTAGGATAATTTCATACGGTGAACTATCAGAGTGATCTATATAGTCTGTGAACATTTAATGGTATTTTTAAAATTAATTTTGACTCTAATAATTGATTCCAAAAATGAACAAAAAACTTAAGTTTTATATATATCCATATAAGAAAGTAAGTAATTCTTCTGTGAACACTGCTTGAATGAACCCTAGAAACTCCCAGTCTCCTTCTACCTACTTTACAGAATGAAAGCGAGGCGGATGATCTGCTAAACCAAGGGAACCATAAATACAGTTTTACTGGCTGACAGATGTCTAATTGTTGCTACTTATAATCACAGTTGGGGCTGGGTCTTGTTCAAGCTGGAAAAGGGGCTTAGCCAGAGATATAATAGAAGGAAGCAGTAGTAAGTAATTAATGCTCTATAACTCCTCCCCAACTCCCTATAAAACCTCACAGAGAAAAAAACCACAGGTCGATTAAATGACATAGGACAGGGGAAGATGGTCTCAACATTTCCTAGCTACATCTTTACACTGCATATGGCAACTAAATGTGACCACTGCTGACTTGGTAATGGTAGACTTTGCCAAGTTTTATTCATTTCAAATAGACACAATATCCTTTTCAAAGAGTATTCCTAAATAAAACATTTATCCAGACGTTTGAACCATTTACTCATATTGAAAGCATCATAACACCATGGTTACTAGCTTAGGCACTGGAGTTGGTCACCCAGTTCAGTCATATAGCACCTATGAGACCTTCACAAATTCGCTCTCTAAGCTTCCATTTATTTACCTCAATAGGATGATAATGATAGGAACTGTACTACAGGACTGTTTTTTTCAATTAAATGAGATGACACATGTGAAGTGCTTTGTACATCCCTAAAAGCATGAAATTAAGTATAACATAATAATCTTTGCTGTTCTGGGTGATAAAATGATCTCTGTTTCCACATCTCCTATCAAGTCTAGCTACAACTACACATGTTACCATCTGGTTAATGTCACTAATGATAAGATAGTAAACTGATTTTTTTGCTGATAAATTTGACCTCCATCTGCAAATATCCTCTTTTAAAAAATGCTGATTGGTGGTTGTTTTAATGTTGACAATTAGAAGACAATTATTCAATAAATATAAAATTACTTTTATCATGTCCACTTTTAAATATATTTCCAGAAGTTTGATTTCAGAAGACCTACTAATACCAGAAGAATTAATAATAGCATGAGTCTCAAATGATTGCATATGCACTATAACATACACATTTTTACCATTTAATCTAATCCTTATGACACCTACACAAGAAAGCTGTTGTTACCCTGTTGCACGTTTGAGGAAACTGAGCACTGAAAACCTGTTTCCCTGAGGAAAACAAGCTACATGTGACAGACATGGGTTCATAACCAGGATGATGGTACAAGCATTTGGTAATACAAGCCCCAGCTTACTCTAAATCTTGAATTCACTGATATACAGGATATTTCAGGATGATTTGACATAAAAGTAACCCATATGAATTAAATAAAAGGCAATAGTTTCATATTTAATAGTCTCTAGACTAGAAAGAAGTCGGAGAAGGCAATGGCACCCCACTCCAGTGCTCTTGCCTGGAAAATCCCATGGACTGAGGAGCCTGGTGGGCTGCAGTCCACGTGGTCGCTAAGAGTCGGACATGACTGAGCCACTTCACTTTCACTTTTCACTTTCATGCATTGGAGAAGGAAATGGCAACCCACTCCAGTGTTCTTGCCTGGAGAATCCCAGGGACGGGGGAGCCTGGTGGGCTGCCGTCTATGGGGTCGCACAGAGTGGGACACGACTGAAGTGACTTAGCAGCAGCAGTAGCAGCAGACTAGAGTCAGAATTCTAGTTTAGTAGTTTACTTCTGAGGTTTTAGGTCTCCACAGGGCTAATATACTGGAAGGGTAGGGTGGTAGGGTCTCACAGAATACCTGCTGAAGCATGTTTGATTTTTAAAAAGATTGTTTCTGGGGTGTATGTAGGGAAGGTATTCCTCACACTTTAACTGAACATTCTCAGGGGCATGGGGAATAATGAAGGACAGACAATCTGCAAGGGTCACCGAGAGAATTCCAGAAAAAGCTATCCTCTACTGAAAGTTGCCTTAAAGGTATAGAGATACCACACATATGTTCAATTCAGTGGTTTCATTTGTAACATTTCTAACATCAAACTAAGCTATTTGGGAAATGTATGTATAGTTCTATGTATTAACTGAAACCATAATTGTTATAAATACTGGATTCAAATGTTCCAGAACAACTGAAATTCCTGAGTCGTGGGTTATTTGTAGCAAATTCAGCGATTCTTTAGAATAGCAAAAAATAAACACTATTGATGCCCGTGTTGCCTATATTTACTTAACTTAATTACAAATTAACCTGCCAAATGAGATTAAGTCAAATATGTCACACATTATACCATATATTCCACAAACATTTATCCAGCTACCTATTATGTGTCTAGAGAGTTCTGGGGATATATCAGTGAACAAAATGGATTAAAATGAAAACAAAATGCCCTGCCCTCTTGCTGAATTACTTCACTGTGTGTAAGTAGCATTGACATATACTACCATGTGGAAAATAGTCAGCCAGTGGGAAACTGCCATATGGACATGGGAGCTCAATCCGTGCTCTGTGATAAGCTAGAGGGGCGGGATGAGGTGGCGGGGGCGTGGAGGGGAGGCTCAAGAAGGAGGCCATGTGGATACTTACGGCTGATTCACATTGTTGTATGGCAGAGGCCAACACAATATTGTAAAGCAATTATCCTCCAGTTAAAAAAAAAAAATACCTGCCCTCAACGAACACTTACTCTATCAAGACATGAGGTGTGGATGGATAGGAAGAGAAAGGGGGTCATAAAACAATTCGAGGGAGCTGCTTACCTTGTATTTCAGACCTCCTCTAAAGTAGCCAACAAAATCCGTAGACTCATAGCCTTGCAGTTCTCTGTTCTGCACAGGTTTGCCACCCAAATAATCATCCATCTGAACAGTAAAGATGGCAGCCGCTGTGCTTTCATCCTGAGTACACTCCTTCCCTGAAAGAGCAAATGACAGTATCTCATTTGTCACCTGAGACACAGGATTAAGGCAGAATGTCTGACAAGGAAAAACTCAGAAACCGTCTTTGAAATATATACCAGTACCATAAATTTATGTATGAATTGTTCATCTTCAACAGAACAATCTTTCAGCAGAAATGATGCAATATAAAATGCTATTTTGCTAATAACTAAAAGAATTGCTCTGTACCTGCTTTCCAGTTCTTTTTTTAAAAAAGCTTTAAAAGAATCACCACTGTCCAAATATGTTCAAGATGATATAACAATATATTCCAGTAGGATTCAGATTCATTTGGTATAGTCAATAAGATCAGGCTATCAAAACATTTTTCAATTATCTTAGCCTTTCTCAGCATTAATCTCCAGGTTTCCAACATGTCAATATATTAATATTTGTAAGGAATACAAACATCACAGGCCAGAACTAAACAACACTTTGAGGATGGGAAAATTAATGTAACTTGACCTTATCCCTATTTTTTTAAGTATAAAGGGTTTTTTTAAATAAGTATGTGTAACACAGGCATAATTAAGTCATTAAGTTTTTTTTTGTTTTTGTTTATTTATTTATTTATTTATTTATTTTTATTAGTTGGAGGCTAATTACTTCACAATATTGTAGTGGTTTTTGTCATACATTGACATGAATCAGCCATGGAGTTACATGTATTCCCCATCCCGATCCCCCCTCCCACCTCCCTCTCCACCCGATCCCTCTGGGTCTTCCCAGTGCACCAGGTCCGAGCACTTGTCTCATGCATTCAACCTGGGCTAGTAATCTGTTTCACCCTAGATAATATACATGTTTCAATGCTGTTCTCTTGAAACATCCCACCCTCACCTTCTCCCACAGAGTCCAAAAGTCTGTTCTGTACATCTGAGTCTCTTTTTCTGTTTTGCATATAGGGTTATCATTACCATCTTTCTAAATTCCATATATATAAGTCATCAAGTTTTTAAGGAATTTCACATGTTCTGATTCTTTCCACTGCCAAGCACCTTAGTTCCTCCAAAGTCATAATCTTCAAGATAAAATAGCCCTTTCAAAAAGCTCAACCCACAGCTCTCAGTCAGTCCATAATTCTTTTAGTTGGGCTTCTCTGACTCCAATGGAATATGGTCACACTTCAAAATTCTCCACATGTAATCTTTGGAGTACAGTTTTCTCAAACAATTTACTTTAGTACCATGTTTAAGATCAAGAGATGGATCTGTCTGGTTCTGAATTTGGCAACTTTAAAAATGGGGCTTCCCTGGTAGCTCAGTGGTAAAGAATCCATCTGCCAATGCAGGAGATGTGGATTCAATCCCTAGATCAGGAAGATCCTCTGGAGAAGGAAATGGCAACCCACTCCAATATTCTTGCCTGGGAAATCCCATGGACAGAAGGCCTAATGGGCTAGAGTCCATGGGGTCACAAAAGAGTCAAATACAACTCAGCAACTGTACAACAACAAAAATGTATTAAGTTCAAATCAGATTCACTCCTAAGCAATAAAATCCTAGAACAGTACAGATTGTTGGGATATGCCAATACTTTTTCTTTTAAGTCCAGACGCCATGTTCTCAAGATAAACATAAAGATCACTTCTAGGACTACAGAGCTGATAATTTCCCTCATATCTTAAGCTTTCCCCTATGTTTGAGTCCCAGTGTCCCCACTTCATTATCTTACTGGCATCAGATAATATTCTCTGAAGGAAAAGGGAGAATAAAAGAACCTGCATGCTCACATCTTTAGAATGTTAACATATGCAGTATTATCCTGGGAATTTAACATACAACACACATTTAATTTTCATAATTCTAATACAGATCTAATCCAGGCAACCTCACTGAGGTCAAAACACCAATTCTTAAGACCCAGTGTCCTCAATGTACACAAAGATCAGAACCAGGACAGTCCTGAGTGGACCTCAAAATTTATAAGACATTTTAAAACTTTTACTATTCCTAACCTGTGTGAAAACCGTTAATGATTCTAGAAATAATAGCAGCTAATATACATTTATAGAACCCTTGCTATGGGCCAGACACTGTGCTAGTGTTTTACATTAATGATCTGCTTTAACCTTCAAATGACCCAACGTAGCTGAAATCATTTTCTACCATGTTATATCAGAGGACACGGAGGCTCAGAGAGAAAAAGTAACTTCCTTGAGGTCATAAAGTTGACCTTTGGCAGACACAACACAGGTTTCTAAGACAGGTTTCTGTGACTGTGAGGCACAGATCTTAGAAACTACGATACTAGTTGGCAATTTTTATACTCAGACTCTCACTAGCAGTAAAATTTTGAGGTGACTGGGGAATGTAATTTTCCTCCCTGGATAATTGACACATAAATGTTTAGAAGCTGTAACAATACTAGAGTTCACCTGCTGCAACCGCAAGTAGGAGTATTCACTAAAGTTGAAGAAAGGAAGTCAATCAGGTATATTAAAGAAAGAATTGGATTTATTTATAACTCCTCTCTTACTCTCAAAGAGGACTGGTGAACTATCTTCTCAGGGGAAAAAAATCAGTCGTTAGATATCAATTTTATGAACTCTCTGTGGTCAAAGGAAATTACTTAACACACATAAAAATCACATGCAGTTTTGCAGTCTGAAAGGGCTCAAGTGTCATCTTCTGTCCACTTCCCCAACCACAAAATAGATTACCAATGAAGGCAAAGATGTAGATTCTACACAGAGGCTTTAGGAGGGAAACTTAAATCAACCTTAATATGAAAGGTGTTGAGGATGACGCATCTGATATACATATTTTTACTTGAGAACAAGTTGAAACCTGAATTTCTTGAGGTAGATACAAATGGATAGGTATGTGATTAATGAATGAACTGGAAGTAAGTTAATTAAATTATCCTATAATTTGTTGATGCTATGTACTGGGCTTCCCTGGTGGCTCAGATGGTAAAGCATCTGCCTGCAGTGTGGGAGACCCAGGTTCAATCCCTGGGTTGGGAAGATCCCCTGGAGAAGGAAATGGCAACCCACTCCAGTACTCTTGCCTGGACTGAAGAGCCTGGTAGGCTACATAGTCCATGCGGTCGCAAAGAGTCAGACACGACTGAGCAACTTCACTTTCACTATGTACTGTGCTAGGCCAAGGAATGTCAGTATGAATAAATCAGAGTCTTTTTAAAAAGGCTGAAAGATTTTAATGAAGCCAATACTAGCCTTTGAATATAAAAACTAGTATCAAATTCAGTTATAGCATGAGGAAATTCTCGTTAAGTGTTCAAAAACTCATGAGTGTTCTGGATGAGGTCTTATGACTTCATTTATTTTTCCTGTGCTGATTTTCCCAGTGCCATTCATGTTACGTTGTTTTATGTTATGTTATTTACATTATATTGTGTTATATTTTATTTGTAAATATGCTATAAGTTTGTTTAGTCTCCAAGTCGTGTATGACTCTTTTGTAAGACCCATGGACCGTAGCCCGCCAAACTCCTCTGTCCATGCGATTTTCCAGGCAAGAACACTGGAGTGAGTTGCCAATTCCTTCTCCAGGGGATCTTCCCGACCCAGGGATCTAATCTGGGTCTCCTGCACTGCAGGCAGATTCTTTACCACTGAGCACCCTGGGAAGCCATATGCTGTAAACTTCCTGAAATTGTTTTGAGGATGTGATGATTTTATATATATAACATAATAAAAAGAGAGGTTTAATGACTAGCTTAGTGGAATATCCATTCATGATAAAAGCTCTCGGCAAATCTGGAATACAGAGGAAAATTCTCAACTTAATAAACAGCATCTTCAAAAAACATAAAGCTAACATAATTTTTAATGATCAAGGACTGAATCCTTTCCCCCAAAGATGGGGAACAAGGCAAGTACTCTTACTGAATATAACACAGGAAGTTCTAACTATTGCAGAAAGGTAGGAAAAAGAAATAAAAAAATATACAGATTGTAAAGGAATAAAACAATGTGTCTCTTTAGAAATGACAGGATGATCTGCATAGAAAATCCTAAGAAAAAAACAAACCCTTAAGAATAAATGCATTCAGCAAAATAGCATGATAAATATTAATCAATGACAAAAAGCAGTCTCATTTTTATATAGAAATAATGAACGTGCAGAAATTGAAATTGAAAGCACAATGACATTTTCAGTCACTTCAAAGAAACTGAAATACTCAAGAATATGTTTAACAAAAGAAGTCATGATCTACATGCTAACAATTACAAAATGATGATAAAAATCAAAGACCATAGTAAAGACAGTGTTCGTGAATTGTAAGTCTTGTAATATAATAAATACGTCAATTTTCCCCAAATTAATCTATAGACTTAATGTTATTCCTGTCAAAATCATTTCAAGGTTTATTACAGATTACATGAGTTTGTTATAAAATTAATGTGAAAAGGCTCAGTCCCTAGAATAGCTAAAACAATCCTGACAAAGAAAAATAAGGTAAGAAAACTAACTCTATCTGATATTAAGTTTTCTTACACAGGCACAATAACTAATTAAGATAGTGTGGTACTGGTTGAAGAATAGACAGATGGATCAATAGACCACGTTTCTTCCAATGGAACATTTTGTAAAACGTTAGTATGTATAGTTTAGTATACTAAATTAGTAAACTATATGTATACCAATTCAGTATGCTGCTGCTGCTGCATAAGTCGCTTCAGTCGTGTCTGACTCTGTGTGGCCCCATAGACGGCAGCCCACCAGCCTCCCCCGTCCCTGGGATTCTCCATGCAAGAACACTGGAGTGGATTGCCATTTCCTTCTGCAATGCGTGAAAGCGAAGTCACTGAGTCGTGTCCGACTCTTACCGACCCCATGGACTGCAGCCTACCAGGCTCCTCCATCTATGGGATTTTCCAGGCAAGAGTACTGGAGTGGGGTGCCATTGCCTTCTCCACTAATTCAGTATACATATATTAAAGTATAAGTATATAAGGACAGGACTGCCATAACCAGCATATTGACACTGATACAATCCACTTACACTTCTCGTATTTCCCCAATCTTATTTGTAGTCATCTGCATTTGTACATTAGTTATATATAATTTTATCACATGTGTAAATTTACATACCCACCATCATAGTCAAGACACTGTATAGTTCCATCACCAAAAAATCCCTTATGGTGCCTTTTTAAAACTCCACCCACCTCCCACCTGAATCACTCCTTCCCCACCTCATCCTTAACCTCTGGTAACAATGAATCTAGATTTTAAAAATGTTATATGAGTAGAATCATATAGCATGGGACCTTCTGGCATTGTTTTTCTTCTTCCCATTAGGCATAATTCCCTAAGGGATTCATCTGACTTGTGTTTGTCCGGCGTTTCGGGCTCTCATACAGAGTGATGTCAGAAAGAGAAAAACAAATATCATATATTAGCACATATATGTGGGAGTTAAAAAAATGGTATAGAGGATCTTATTTGCAAAACAGAAATAGAGACAGAGCCATAGAGAACAAATGTATGGACACCAAGTGGGGACGGAGAGTGGGATGAATTGGGAATTGGGATTGACATGTATACACTATTGACACTATGAATATAATAGATTACTAATGAGAACGCGCTAGATAGCTCAGGGAACTCTATTCAGAGCTGGGTGGTGACTTAAATGGAAAGGAAATCCAAAAAAAAGAGCATGTGTATATATACGCATGTATAGTTGATCCACTTTGCTGTACAGTAGAAACGAACATAACATTGTAAAGCAACTATACTCCAATAAAAATTCATTTAAAAACAAGTTTGTTCCTTTTTGTTGTTGAGCAGTAGTCCTTGGTATAGACGTGCCATTTGTTTAATCAGTAACCTGTCGAAAGTTATGTGGGCTGACTGAAATTTTTGTCCATTCAAATAAAGCTGCTATGACATTAATGCACTGGTTTTTGCATGAATATGAAATTTCTCTGGATTAAATGCCCATGAATGCAACTACTGGATCACATGGTAGTTGCATGTTCAGTTTTATAAGAAACTGCCAAAGTCTTTTCCATAGTGGTTGTACATTTTATATTCTACCCCCACCACAATCAACGTATAAGACTCCAGTTTCTCAGCATCCTCCCCAGCCTGGGTATAAGTTCTTTGTATTGTATGTTGTATACTGTTGCCCAGTTTTTTGGATTCACAGTGCCTTGAAATAGAACCCAGCATAGACAAGTTGGTAGATGCATTTAAATTGCTAGGTACAAAACTGAAATTTTTTTTCAGGAAGAACCAATGCAACAACTTCTAAATTACATGCAACAAACGCTTACTTTGTAAAGGAAATAAAACAAAAATAATCAAATAAAAAGATCTGAGATATGCAATGGTATTATGGAAAGACACTGAGGGAGAGGCCAGGGAAGAGAACTTATCTTCTGTTCTCTTGTTTTGGGTCCCACTTCTTCCTGTTTCCCTTTTCCTCCTCTCAGCTGGCCTGTTTCTTCATTTCTAGGCTATGCCCCTTCTCATTCCAGGCTGATTTTAACTCTATTCTCCTTCATCTTCCTTTCAACTGACTTCCTTTAGTCAGACTTTCTCTTCCCTTGAACTTTCAGCTCCCCTCTTGGAACATTCCCTCAATCTGTTTTTCTGAATAAACCTCATGAATTCACCCAAATTGAGGTCTAATACTGTGCTCGTGCTCAGTCGTATCTGACTCTTTGCTACTCCACGGACTGTAGCCCACCAGGCTCCTCTGTCCAGGGGATTTCCCAGGCAAGAGTACTGGAGTGGGCTGTCATTTCCTCCTCCAGGGGATCTTCCCAACCCAGAGATCGAACCCCCATCTCCTGTGTCTACTGCATTAACAAGGGTTCTTTAACCACTGTGCCACTTGGGAAGCCCAAATTTAGGTCTAATTATATCTACAGGTCCTGCTGGCTACTCTGCTCTAAACTTTTCACATTTCCCATGAGTTTCTATCACACAACCCCAATCAGTTCCCGTCATCTGCCTTTTTTTCCATCAAGGCTTTTCTGCTTTCCAGTGACCACAGGCACTTTATGTCTCTTTCCTGATGCTCATCACATTTTACCTGTGTTCTATCACTTCTGTTTTATTGCATCATTGAGATTGTAAACTTTCAGGGAAGTTTCTTAAGGTATTCATATGCAAAAATGCCTTACACAGTGCTGGACACATTGAAAGTTACTGAATTAACCTATTAGTTAACGCACTATTAAGTTCAGTTTTTATAGATCTTTAAGATCATAAAATGTTTCTGCCCAAAGCATTTCTATTACATTTTTTGAAACTGATGAACTAAATCAGTTTAGTTTCTCTTCCCTTTCTGAAGTCTGATTCATTCAGCGTAAGAGTTACCTTGAATCTGTTATCCCTATGAAACACGGTGCCTAAAGAACTTATCTAGATAAGAAAGAAGCTACAAAATTAAAACAATTGTATAGGTTCTTTCTTACCCAGATAAGCTCTCTAAGCATTGTGTTTTGTAGGGTTTACCTATGGAATTAAAACAATTGTGGGGCTTCCCTGACAGTCCAGTGGTTAGGATTTGGTGCTTTCACTGCCATGGCCCCAGGTTCAATCCCTGGCTGGGGAACTAAGGCCCCACAAGCTAAACTGGGTGGCCAAAAACCAAAACAAAACAATAGTGTTTAAAGCTCACTTGGATTCCTCTGACAAAATCAAATTTAATTATTGTCTTCAGCAAGATATGACTTTCTCATTTTAGTTCACCAAAATGACAAATGTGGCATTTCAGACACTTTTACTCATTACAGAACTAAGTACTGAACAGAAAGACCAAGGTGAAGGCATTACTATTCTATGTGGCATCATTCATTCATGAACATAAGTTATACATTAAGATTTCAGTGGGGTGATTCTTCGTATAAAACATAAACAGATCACTGTCTGTGATAAAAGGAATAGTGACATTACACTGGAAAACCACAATGAGTTTGGATCTCAGCCTCCTCAAGCAGGCACAAAATTTTAGTATCAAATAAATGTTATAATGAAATAGTTCTGTCTCCCTGTATGGATTTCTCATTTGGAGTGTTTGCTCCAGGTGGTAGCTAATATTGAGACCATCACTTCTCAATGTTCTCTACCATCTTGCTTCTCAAAATCTTCAAATGTTAGGAAGGAAAAATGACTTTCAGGGACTTCAAAATGTGTATGTGTGTGGTTTTGTGTGTTTTCCCCATAATGAATAAAACTAAAAATAAACACAGTCTAGGGGAGGCAAGCTGATTCTCAACGGAGGCAATAAGGCTCAGATAATCGGTGTGTTGTTAGACGGGGTGTGCCCACTGGCACAGGATCTCAGAGGGAGAAGTTAGACATTCAGGATGTTTACGAGTAAAAGTAGAAGGTGGAAAATGTAGAACACACAAGGCCCAGTGTCCTCAGAGCCCGGCGCAGGTGAAGCCCAAAATAATTACTACCGATGAAGGAGCTGTTTTGTTCCAACCTGTGTTCTTGTTCAAACACATAAGTAATAAATATAAATATAATCATTATAAAGCGACTCATCTAAATACAAAATCTGCCATAGAAAGTTATTTACTTTGTATTGATAAGGCAGCCAGCATCCTAATCAAGAGGAATTTCTGTTCTCCAAAGCTGCAAGCAGCGCGGTGCAGACTTGGAATGTGATTTTTAAAGCAGCCAAGAACTTACTTAATCGTTGCAATTACTAGAGAACGCTAAGCTGAGTCCAAGGCTATATATATATATATATATAGTTTTTTAAAGGACTTCCCGCGGCCGCGGCGAATGCCCACAAACTTGTTTGACTTCATCTCCTCGCTGACGGGGAATCCAGGACTGAACTTGTCGGAAGGTGAGCCTAACTTGGCCAGCCCCAGGGCGCGGCTGGCAGCCGTCCTGGGAGGAAGCGGGAGTTTGGAGACTGGAAGGTGAAACGGGGAGAAGCTAGAGGAACCAGCTGCAAAACCTGGGAGGTGGACTCGACAAAGGTCAAAGCGATGGAGGTAAGACTGCTCCCCCCCTTCGCCGCGCCCTGCGTTCGCTGCGGCGTTTGCCGGCGCGGACTCTCTCGAGTGGAAGGTGCCCAACCCCAGAGTTGGAGGGGGCGCCCCCCAGGGCGCAACCGGCGCGACGGGTCTCCAGGAGGGTCCAGCTAGCGCTGCCTTCCCCCAGCCCGCCACTCTCAATCCCCGGGCGGCCTCCCCCTCCCCGATCCGGCCCCGCGGCCCCTTACCCAGCCAGAAGTGCAGGCGGTAGGTGAAGCCCCGGCTGGCCTGCGTCGTGTGGAGCACCAGGTAGGCATCCCCGACGTAGAAATCGCCATACGCGCTCTCGGGCACCGGCACCAGCTCCAGCTTCTCAATTCTCCAGACCTGCAGCCCCGCCCGCTTGCCCGCGCGGGCGAACTCCTCGTGGTACAGCCCCTGGGCCATGACTCGGGCACGCGATGTCCCGGGGAGTGGACGTGGGATCTCGCTGACCTGGGAGTCGGACTGGAAGGACCCAGGTCGCAGCGGTTTTATAGGGTTTGCTCTGCAGGACGGGAGGGGGGGCGGGGCGGGGATGATCGGGGGCGGGGCCCCCAAACGGGAGGGGCCAAGTGCCCAGGCAGGCGTTACTAGCCAGGAGGCAATCCCTTCTCATCCGAAGCGCAGCATCCTGTACCAACCTCCTGCGCCCTTTCCTGCAGCCCGAAGGGAATCAGAATCTCAGAAATCGTAGAGATCCTGAGGGAACTTACTGAAATGTCCTCCCAGGAAGGACATTTTCCCTGGCAACAGATGGAGGAGATCAATTAAAACTGTTTAGTGCATCGTTAAAGGAAAAAAAAAAAAAAAAGGCAATTCAGGTAACGATTTATCATCAACTCCTTCATTTTATCTGCCAGTCCCTCCATCCCCGCTGGCCACAGTTTCTCTCTGTCTTGGTCTTCCCAATTTGAAACTGCCATGAGAAACAGCTTGTCAGTTTTCTTGGAAAGAATGAAAACCTGGAAGGATAGCGGTCTTACCCGGGGGACAGACCTCTATAAGTCTTCAGGGGTTCAGGAAGCTGTGATTAACCTCTTTGCCACCTGCTTCCTTTACCAAGAAAAGTTTTGGGGAAAAAAAAAAAGCAGCAATCCTCTTGGGGTGTTCTCAAGCTGGGCTGTTTGTGACTGTGGTATTTATATACTTAGCTTACCGTGTGAGTTACCTCTTAGAAATGCTTCAGGGTGCTGATCTTATTGTCTTCCCTACAGAGTTTGCTTTTGTAGCATGGGCAAAGCACTGTAAAATATAGATGGAAGTTTACTCCTTATTTTGCATTAATTTAACTGAAGCTGATGTGGCAAGTGATTTTATTGTTATTGAGAAAGCAAATTGCTCAGGATGCAGAGGAAGAAAGCTAGTTTTTATGCATGTACATTTTCTGTCACTGTTTTCCAAATTACAGGCTTCTCTGGGGGTCACTAATTACATACAACTTGATTTTTCCTTAATTAATGTTTTGAAATAGGTATTACATGACCATGGTAAAAAATTCAAAAGTATAGGTGAGCAGTAAAAATGTATCTCTATTTCAGCTTTCACCGGAGGCAGCTGAGTTACCAGTTTCTTGTGTATTTTTCCAGACATATTTGATATTCTTTCATCTACAAGAATATAGATAGCGTAGTAATTTTATTTTCTAACAGAAATGGTAACATACATACTGTAACAACATATCAAAATATCAATACCCAGTACTCATAGAGCCTCTTCTTTTTACTGGCACATGGTATTCAATCTTATAAATGTACTGTAATTTATAATCTGTTCAGGTTCATAGGTATTTAAATTTTGTCTATATTTTGCTAACACAGTGTTGCAAACAACTTTTGCAACCAACAATTTCTTGCAACCAACCATTCTTGGTTCTGAGGCTTTAGCAACTTACTAACTACAGCAAGCCTCAGGTTCCTCATGTATAAAATGGGCAAATAATAGTTTTCACCTTAAAGACTGTTATTTGAATTAAATGCACGAGTACCCGTGTCTGTTCGAATGTTCTTTGGCATTGCCTTTCTTTGGGATTGGAATGAAAACTGACCTTTTCCAGTCCTGTGGCCACTGCTGAGTTTTCCAGATTTGCTGGCATATTGAGTGCAGCACTTTCACACTATCGTCTTTTAGGATTTAAAATAACTGATGTGGAATTCCATCCCCTCCACTAGCTTTGTTCATAGTGATGCTTCCTAAGGCCCACTTGACTTCGCATTCCAGAATGTATGGCTCTAGGTGAGTGATCACACCATCATGGTTATCTAGGTCATGAAGATTTTTTTTTTTTTTTTTGTAGTTCTGTGTGTTCTTGCCACCCCTCTTCTTAATATCTTCTGCTTCTGTTAGGTCCATACTGTTTCTGTCCTTTATTGAGCCCATCTTTGCATGAAAAGTTCCCTTGGTATCTCTAATTTTCTTGAAGAGATCTCTAGTCTTTCCCATTCTATTGTTTTCCTCTATTTCTTTGCACTGATGACTGAGGAAGGCTCTCTTATCTCTCCTTGCTATTCTTTGGAACTCTGCATTCAGATCGGTATATCCTTCCTCTTCTACTTTGCCTTTTGCTTTTCTTTTCACAGCTATTTGTAAGGCCTCCTCAGGATTTTGCATTTCTTCTTCTTGGGGGTGGTCTTGATCCCTGCCTCCTGTACAATGTCACGAACCTCTGGCCATAGTTCATCAGGCACTCTGTCTGTCAGATCTAATCCCTTGAATCTATTTCTTACTTCCACTGTATAATCGTAAGGGATTTGATTTAGGTCATACCTGAACGGTCTAGTGGTTTACCCTACTTTCTTCAATTTCAGTCTGAATTTGGCAATAAGGAGTTCATGATCTGTTCCACATTCAGCTTCTGATCTTGTTTTTGCTGACTGTATAGAGCTTCTCCATCTATGGCTGCAAAGAATATAATCAATCTGATTTTGGTATTGACCATCTGGTGATGTCCATGTTAGAGTCTTCTCTTGTGTTGTTGCTTCCAGATGTTCAAGCTGGATTTAGAAAAGGCAGAGGAGCGAGAGAGCAAATTGCCAATATCTGTGAATCATCAAAAAAGCAAGAGAGTTCCAGGAAAACATCTACTTTTGCTTTATTGACTACACCAAAGCCTTTGACTGCATGGATCACAACAAACTGTGGAAAATAATTCAGGAGATGGGAATACCAGACCACCTGACCTGCCTCCTGAGAAATCAGTATGCAGGTCAGGAAGCAACAGTTAGAACTGGACATGAAACAACAGACTGGTTCCAAATAGGGAAAGGAGTATATCAAAGCTATATATTGTCACCCTGCTTATTTAACTTATATGCAGAGTACATCATGAGAAATGCCAGGCTGAATTAAGCACAAACTGGAATCAAGATTGCCAGGAGAAGTATCAATAGCCTCAGATACACAGATGACACCACCCTTATGGCAGAAAGCAAAGAAGAACTAAAGAGCTTCTTGATGAAAGTGAAAGAGGAGAGTGAAAAGGCTGGCTTTTTTTCAGAAAACTAAGATCATGGCATCTGGTCCTATCACTTCATGGCAAATAGATGGGGAAACAGTGAGAGGCTTTATTTTCTTGGACTGCAAAAGCACTGCAGATGGTGACTGCAGCCATGAAATTAAGATGCTTGCTCCTTGGAAGAAAAGCTATGACCAACCTAGATAGCATATTAAAAAGCAAAGACATTACTTTTCCAACAAAGATCCATCTAGTCAAAGCTATGGTTTTTCCAGTAGTCATGTATGGATGTGAGAGTTGCACTTAGCCTTCTTTACAGGCTAAGCACTGAAGAATTGATGCTTTTGAACTGTGGTGTTGGAGAAGACTCTTGAGAGTCCCTTGGACTGCAAGTGAAAGGTTGCTGAACCACAAAAGATGCCAGGATTCTTGGCCTCCAGAGGAGAAGAATTCAATACAGTGCCAGAGACGAGACTTGATCACTCAAAACTTTTGTGTAATAAAAGTTTTATTAAAGTATAAAGGAGATAGAGAAGGCTTCTGACATAGACATCAGAAGGGGGCAGAAAGAGTGCCCCCTCCCTAGTGTTAGTAATGGAGTTATATACTTTTTAATTAGTTATTACAGTGAATCAAAAGAATGTCTGCTGGTTGTAAAGACCTTACTAGACCCACTCCCATAATTTACATTTTAAGATTACAGGATTAGCCAGAAGGTTTTTTCCCAGAAACTGTCCTCAAGCAGGATACATTATTGTTATATAATCCTAAGGAATGTAGAGGAAAATAAGTTTGGCCTTTCCTCCTCCTTGAGAATTCCAGACCCCTCTCTCCTTGGGGACCCCCAGACTTCTTATCAACCCTCCTAGGAATTGACTCTCTCATCCCCCCCTTTTCTTTTAGGAGAATTATGTTGCCAAGGGAAAGGGGCATTGTTCTCATTCCAGAACTACTTCCTGCTATTTAGGGGCGTGGTCCCTAAATTGCTGAGGCAACATATTCTCCTAACCCTCATATTGAGGGTCTCTGTTCCAGGGGCCCCAAGTAATAGTTGGAGGAGGCTGTGGCACTCGCAGGAGCTTGGACAACCATTTGTAACTTAAAAGCTTTCAGACGGTTAGAAACAAACCCTGTTTTACAGTTACAGATGTAAGGCAAAATAGTCATTAACCCAAGTTAAAATCAAAATTAAAAGTCACATTATGTCCATAGTTACATCAGTCCATCCTAGGACTGTTAAATGTCATTACAGAGTTGAAGAGAATCCTTTCCTTGAAGTGGAGATGTCCACCACGGGAAGCCTTTCACTGAAAAAGAGGGGAGCACTCCACAGACCCAGCAGTTAGACTGATTATGAAATGCAGTGTAGGAGTGAGTCCAGGAGAGGAAGGCATTGCCTTGAGGGTCAATGGCAGACTCAGGACTTTTGGAGTTAGCAGAAGTAGGCCCACATAGATTATCAGGCCCATCTGAAAAGTACACAGTCAGAGCATAGAAAGTAAAGACATAAAATGACATCGCTTGGTTCTGGTCAGGGTGCCACCTCTTAACTCGAGTGTGATGCACCCACGAATCAATTCCTGCCACTCTGACAGCTGTGGGAGAAGAAGAACCTGGTAATTAGGGCCTTCCCAGAGGGGCTTGAGAGATTGGCCCCCAGATCCCAATGTTTTTATCAGGACCTTGGCTCCTGGCTCAAGTAGAGGCTTGCTTGACTCAGAGGCTGGGTCAGCAGTCACCTCCCGGAGTTCCATGAATGCCTGTTGAAAAGCTGAGAGCTGAGTTACATAATTAGTTAATCCTAAGGCTTTAGGAAAACTTTTCCATTGAGCATTTTCAGGAATTATTAATCGTCCACCCTCTGACTGTAACCATCCTTTATCAGTAATCTTTGCTCCTCTTTTCTCATATCTTTCTAATTCTTCCTCAGTATGTTGTGGTTTTTCCTGTTCCA